GAGTTTCACTTGATATGATGTAATATTGTAATATTTGTGAGTGTAGACCCCAGGAGGAATTGTGTAAAGACTAACAGGGATCCTGAAATAAAAGTAAAACAGTCCGTTGGTGAATCAGGGCCAGGTGGCTCTGAAAACCACTTCACACCCCAGTTCTTCCATAATTTACACAACCCTCAGAATATTCCTCAATAAAACAGTTTCAAGTGGAGCTGTGCTCTACATCAGTACCTGTTAGCTGTTTAGTATTTCCTGAGCATTCACAATAAGAGACGATATTCATGTTCACTAAAAGTAATTGTTTAAAACAAAGACCAGTGAAATAGGCGTTGATTAAATGGTATATTTCTGCTTGCCAACTCATTTCATCTGTTTCCTGTAGAGACTGGATCCAGGCTCTGTCTGCTGACGCCACCGGCAGCTTCCTGCGAGCAGCAGAGCTGGGCGCCGCCATCCAGGAGCAGTGGGTGCTCACGAACTCGGCCGTTTACTTGTGGAACTACAACAACCACCTGCTGGCAGCCGGAGAGTACAGAGTCCTGCTGCCCACCTTCCAGAAGCTGCTGGGGATGCTGCAGAAGTCTGAGAACACCAGGTACTGCTCCAAGACTCAGCTTCCTGACAAAATACACTTTATTTCATAAATGTAATAGTTGGGGGTTTGACAGGCCGCAGCTTCACGAAGTATTCCACAAATATTCAGACCTTTAACAAAACCTCAAATTTATCTCTGATTCCTCTCAGTCTTCTCGGTCTGAGACGTTTCTACGTCCTGACTGGCGTCCACACGTGGACAGTTCAACTGACTGGACCTGATTTGGGTTTGACCCATGGTCCTGATTTGAAGCACCTTCAGCAGAAGTTCCAGCATCATCTCTTCTGGTTTCCATACATGGACTGAAGGATTTTCTGTAAATCCTTTCAGTCTTGGTCCAGATGGATGGAGACCATCACTGGAGACATTTTGGTTCTTTGGGTCGCTGACATGTTGAAGGAGAACCTCCGGTTCTGTTTAAGGTCTTGAACTCTGTGGAACAGGTTTCCATCAATGATATCTCTGTCCTTCAACCCTGACCAGTCCCTGCTTCACTGTGAGCTGGGGTTGGACTCCTGATGAGCTGTTCCTGACAGAACCTTTAGCACTGAGGTCCAGCGGTTCAGACCAGAAGACCTTGTCCCTCACAGTCAGAGTCCTTCTGAGGAGAAGATCCATAGAAGTGCTCTAGGTCTGTGGAAACCAGCAGGGCTGGTCCTTCTGCAGCTCAGTCCAGTTAGAATCCAAACAGTCAGATTTAGTAGATTTTTCAATCCTGATCCATAAACAACAAAGTCCATGCTCAATAATCCAGGTATACAATCCAACAGTTTCTGATTCATAAAGTTGTTTAGAAACCAGCAGTGGTTTGATTCCACATCCTGAGCAGAAGGAAAAGCCCCAGAGAAGAGGAACAACTGCTGATGGACCCAAACTAAACATCCATCAGTCAACCTAGAACTGAACCAGAACCAGGATGGGCCGACTCAACCGTTGGAGTTTGAGAAGAACGAGAACATTTCAGCTCAGACGTCGTTTCCATGGAAACAAAGACAGGGAGGCGATATAAAGTCGAGCAACGAATACAAAGACTAAAGGACAGAGCATCACAGTGAGCAGAGGGGCTCTGCTAAACCTATAGCTGCAGAACTGAGGGATACCTCAGGAAACCCTAGATAACCCTAACTATGGGATTAGTCAGAAATGAATATGTGCTCCTGTATCTCACAGTAAAAGTTCTTGTGACAAGCCACACTTTCATCATTCATCCTAATGAAATGAGTTTTGGTGTTTAAAGTTGAGTCAAAATGTTTTCCAGTAAAACTGTGGAGAAGTTCTTTAAACTTGGGTAAGAGCTGAGGATGATGTCGTGTTGTTCCTCAGCAGCACTGCTGTGTGCGTTCTGATGAGTTCTGCTGTGGCCCGCGGGCTGATCCAGCCTCTGTCTGAATGGGACGGCGCCGAGTCCGCTCCGAAAGAACCCACGGGTCCAATCAGAGAGAGGGGCGTGGAGAAGACCGCCAGCGTCCACAGAGATCCTGCTGCCTTACAAGATGTCCACAAGGCCTTAGAGGTGGGTCACTGGACCTTCTGTAGGACGAGACGCTGCACTAAACATTTAATACGTGGTTGATTCACGGCCTGCGGAGCTTTGTTGCTTCCTTAACGATCGTTGGCGCCTCTTTTTAATGAGACAGACTGGACAGGAATTATCACCAGCATCTGTGAGTTTTGTCTGTGGACGTCTTTAAACCTGCCCGATTCCTTTACCTGAAGCACGTGCGCTCCTCTTTTACAGTTTTATCAATACTTGGTCTGGTTTCCTGTTTCTGCATCGCTGTTTACTTTAAACCCTTAAAGAAAACGTCTGAAAGTGTTCTGGAGGAACTCGGGTTGATTCTGGTACTTTCTCTAGAGTTTACGAGCACAACGTAGGAGAGACTTATTTCTTCTTCATCTAAGAACGTTCAGTCAGCTCCTCTGGAGGATTCTTCTTGTTGAAAAGTGTTGTCATTTATCCAAAGGACTTCTTCAGTCTGAGGAGCTGCAACAAACTCAGTCTTATAAACAGCACCTTCTCATGGTGGATCAAGCATCCAGAACTAGCTGTTCACAGGATCAAGGAGGACCATGAGCCTAACGAGCGAGTGTTAGAGCCCTGATGGCTGCTTGTTGCTCACAGAGGGCTAGAGCTGTCACTATAACCCGAACTCGGCTCGACCGTCCCGGTTTAGGGCCGGGTCATATTAATGTGATTAATGTCCGGGCCGGGCCGGGCCGG